TTACTAAAAAGGAAATAAATCACGGTATTATAATAGGTAAAATATTATTAAAAACGAATTTATGTTCAAAACTTTCCATTATTAAAAAGGAAATCAAGCATGGTATTATAATAGGTAAAATATTATTAAAAACGAAATTATGTTCAAAACTTTCCAATATTAAAATTATTAATACACAGTATTAAAAAGAAAATATATCACGGTATTATATTATATTTTAATAGGTAATATGTAATTAACTTTCCATATATTAATGCACGGTGCATTGTAATTACCACAATTTCATACGCTAACTTACCGTGGATAGTATAAATACGCTACCTTACTGTCCCAAAAAATTAAACTGAATTTCGTGGAAACGAGAGTTTTAGAGAGTTATTATTTTAATATATTCGGTGTTTTCCACTGTTTTTGGTTGGAGATGGGAGTGATGATTACCGCCATAAAAAATGTTCATGCAGATTCCGGGTTGTTGATGATGAAGCTAAGAGCAATTAGAGTTTACCATGTCGCTGCTCATTCTCGAGGGCCGGAATCGTTGGATGTTGTTTTCCATGACTCGGAGGTAAGTTCTATATTGTTTTATATTTTACAAATAATACGTCTTTAAACAAAAAAAATAAATTTAATTATAGATTAACGTTTTATATTTGTTGTTAGGGCTCTCGGATCCATGCTCAGATCAAAGATTCTAATATAAGCACATTCAAAAAAGATTTGCAAGAAAATGCGGTTTACTTAATGATGAGGGTCAAGGTTTTACGCAATTCCCAAGGCACAAAAACTACCAATCACCCTTGCATGCTCCAATTTTTGGGAAAGACAAGGATTCAAAAACTATCAGACAATGGATTTCCTAATTTTCAATTCAACTTTAAGAGTTTTGAAGATGTTCTCAAAACAAAGTTTGCTGACCAAGTCTTTTTAGTTGGTAAGGGTCATTTACATTTACATAATTTAAATACTTACACGAAATACATTTTATGTATTATGATTATGAAATTTTTAAAATTGTATTTTTATTGGTTTTCAAATATAATCGGGAAAGTAGTTAGTCGAACTGTGCCCGAAACCCGTATGGTTAAAAATGCCCCGGAGCAAATGATGGAAGTTACCTTGGAGAACCACAAGTAAGTGATTTTTTAATAACCAATTTCAATTTAATTAAAAAAATTTATACTTTGAAAAAATTATTAAATAATTCATTTGTATGATACGTTATTTCGTGGTTAGCTAAATACTAAAAAATTGTGACACATATTATATTTAAAAATAATTATAACTTTTTTTTGTAGTGGCGTTCGGTTGAATTGTACGTTATGGGGAAATCACGTCAATGTTTTCATTGATGGATTGAGTGCATCGGAATCGACCCTTCCAATTTTGGTGTTGCAGTTGGTGAAACCTAAGTTCTACAATGGTATATATTTATAAATTAATTTAAATTAATTTTGAACGACATGTACCCAATGATATAATTCTAATTGTATTTTTTTCAAATCATTTAGAGCAAGTGTCTGTTACAACATTTTACTCTGTGAGCAAGGTTTTACTCAATTATGAGTGTGATGAAGTTAAAGCTTGGAGAGAAAAGTAAGTCCACATGTATTCTTGCAGATTTTTTATTTCTAAAAATATAATCAACGTGTTGTTTAAATTTTTAACAATTGTAATCATGCAGGTTAATGTTAAGTGCCACTCACTTAACCCAAAGTTGTAGTATCGTCTCAACACAATCAAGATCAAGAGATGATAAAAGAACGAGCAACTTGAAAGTGGTCTTCATTCATGAACTAAAAAACATGAGCAATGTAAGACATATTTCTTTACATGTTATATAAAAAATAATTTACTTTTCACCTTAAATATATTGCATATTCATCTATGGCAATTATGTAAATACGTGTTCCTATTTTTAAATAATTTTAATTTAGTTTTAATACCCGAGTAATAATTTTAATTTAGTTTTAAAAATTCTGAATAAGCTTAATTTTTATGAGCTATTGATAATTTAGTATTGCAGAAAGTAAATTATGGCATAATTAAAAAATTTAAATACTCTCTCTGTCCACCATAGATCTTCCCAGACACTATTCACAGGGTCAAACTTTACTCACTTTATTTGCTCATTTTTAGTATTCATATTATAAAATAATATAGTCTTGTCACCTCTAGTTTTGTAGAACTTTTCATGTAGTTTATTACTGTATAAATTTTATTTTAAAATTTTACTCCTATAATCAATTAAATTGAATTGAAAATAAAGTCGGTCAAGCCTCGTAACGCGTAATGAGAAGATCTTACATGGACGGAGGGAGTACAATTTAAGTAGTCACGAGAGACCAAAAAGGAAAAAAATACAAATTTCCATTTATATACCTAAGTTAATTAGACGTATTTTCTAATTTCCTAATTTATGAAAAAACGGGATCCCATTCTTATTTGGAATTAGAAATTACGTACGGATGTAATTTAATAAATACACTAATAATATTAATAGACGAATGATTTTCTTTATTTAATATAATTACTACACGGAAATATATATATTTAATAATAATACAAATTTATTGATTTATTTCTTATTATCAGAAAGGATATTATTGGATACTTGGTGATGTTGTTGAAATTGAAAACACCAATGAATGGTGTTATCTTGGTTGTCCCAAGTGCAATCGGAAGGTTGCTCCAGATGCTACGAGGTTCAAGTGTATGAAATGCGAAAAAGATTATCCTGAAGGAGTGTATAGGTTGTTATTTGCATTCAAAATATTTGATACCCCAAAAGAATAATTTTTAAAAATACTAATTTTTAACGTATGATAAATAGATACAAGGTGAGCATTTGTGTTATTGATAATAGCGATGAATCCAAGCAGCGATTGCAGCGATGAATCCAAGCAGCGAGACTCGAACATACCTTAGTTCTGATAAAGTTGAGAACTCGGATTGCAGTTCAAGTTTTTTTGGTGACCTACACTCTCCCGAATTCTTAAATAAGATTTGTGCTTCAGGTGTACCGAATCACGAATTAACTCTGAAGGTAGGCACACCTATTATGTTGTTGAGAAATATTGACCATTCAATGGGTTTGTGTAATGGTACACGGTTGATAGTAACCCGGTTGGCTAATCACTCAATACAAGGAAAAATATTATCAGGAAGCCACATGGGTGAAGAAGTTGTTATTCCAAGACTATCATTAACACCGTCCGATACAAGAATTCCTTTCAAGTTTC